TTACCATACTTCTACTCTATCAGATCTATCAGAGATTTTACTCTATCAGATCTATCAAATTTCTATTTTCACCAACTCGGCTTATACCTCTGTTTCAACACTTGGCTATCATCCAATACAATTATTCACTGTGTCTTTGCATTATCTCCGAGTTCCTTCTTCTCACCCTGTCTGACTCTTGTCCTGGCTTGAGAGAGCCACTATATATTTCAATTACCCTTGACTTTCCAGTTCCCAATCTCACTTCTTTGCCATAGTTCTGCCAGAGGTTGAATCTGCTGTAAACACGTTTGATCCACTAATACAGCCAGTAGTATCATGATCAGCTCTGATTATTTATGAGTAAAAGAAAAAAATGGAATAAATACTGTTCATACTTCTACTACATATTTTTGTCATCCTACAAATGGATGTGCAACTGACCTTTCAATTCTGTCCATTATAGCAGCCCTGTGGTTGCATGATCACAATCCAGGCCCTTGGATGCCCAGTTCAAGATTACAACTTTGCAGGGACCTGTAGTCATGTGACTGCCATTTGCAACCTCCCACACTGTCTTCCACATATACAAAATCAATGAAAAAGTCAGCAGGGAAAGTCACAATTCACTCCAATATGTTCTCGCTGGTTTTCCTAGGCTAGCATTGTGCCCTCCATCTCTTGGCTTTCCTGCACTTGTGCTACTCTGCATCTTCCACAGTCTACTTTCGCTCATACTGCACTGCACCCTACACTCCTTCCTGCACTCACAATTATGTGGCACCACTCCTTTCCTCCTCTGACCTCCCTCAACTCCTGCATGGCCTATAGCAGGACTCCCAGGGCCTCCCAACTCCCACTTCTGCAGCATCCAGGCATGTCTTATCTGGGACTTGCCACTTCCTGCTTATTGGGATTGCCATCACTAAATGATGCAGTCATGTAACATCATACATCATGTCCGTTTTGCTTAAGGACAGGAATCCCAGTCCTAATGAACCATGGTTATGCAGTGGTTAGAGTGCAGTACTGCAGGCTACTTCTCCTGATCACCGGCTGCCAGCAGTTTGGCAGATCAAATCTCACCAGGCTCAAGGTTGACTCAACCTTCCATCCTTCTGAGGTCAGTAAGATGAGGACCCAGATTGTTGGGGGCAAATATGCTGACTCTGTAAACTGCTTAGAGGGGGCTGTAAAACACTGTGAAGCGGTATATAAGTCTAAGTGCTATTGCCATTGCCAATTGCCATCATAACCTGAGGCCCACTTGTATTTAATTCAAAATTTCCTAATGACTCTTACTTTATTTGAGGCTTACACTGCATACAAATGCTATACACATTGGTCTGTATTGCAGCATTCTTTTTCAGTTTAGGGAATTTCAGGAATAAATATTAGCATTGTGTAATTTTAAGTGTAAATAATAAAAAATGAAAAAACACCACCACATATTGCTAAAATAATTCATTTTAGTAGTATTTTAAGAATATGGTCTGGTACATTTCAAACATTTACTAAAAAAAATATTGTAAGAATACCTGTAAACAAATCAAATAAAAAGGTTAGATTTTTTTTTGGTGACACCTGAAAGAGAATAAGACTTCTAGTTACATTGTTAAACTGAAGGAAGGCATTTTGGTACTAAAATTTGGGACATTAGGTTAAATATCTCATCATTTATATTTGCTATGATAGTTATACTGCAAAGAAATTTTTAATACTATGTGTCACAGTTGCAAAAAATATTTAAATTGGATCTAATGAAATGCAAGTAGACCAATAAAAAAAAAACAATTGTAGCTGCAGAGCTATATAATTGTTTCAAAAACAGCATGCAAAACACTGTTCATTAATCTATAGTTGCTAAAATATTGGTACTCATATTATCAGTTATTATATATTGTTTTAAGAATCTAAAAAAATAGTAATTATTATAGGCAAAAACGGAGCTGGGCCAAAGACAGATGATTAAAGAGAACTTTAACATTTATAGCTTAAGAAGGTTACTATTGTGACATTTATTCCAAAGAAAAGCATGCTCTTTTTTTGTAAAAGAAAGAATTGATCAATTAAGAATTTTCAGCTCTTTTGTGTCTCAACTATAAACAATTATCTACATTCAGAAACCAATTGTCATATGTGTCCCTGCACCCATGGCCAAGCCTTTTCTTTATTATGAGCAGCAATTAGAAATAGGTAAAAATAATTATTGACAATAATTTTTCTGTTTTGATCCCAAGTAGTTAAAACAAAGGTAAATTCCAAGGAATTGTATTGCTCTGTCCAGTTTATACCCATATATCCTGTTTTAAACACACAGATACACACCTATATACATACCGGTACATACATACATACCGTACATATATACAGTGCTGTATTCAATTATATGGGTCAATGAAATTTGCCCAGAGCAATTCTAAACTTCACTACAGTTAAAATATTTTTTAAACATCAAGCCTCTGATAATCTAATATTGGGTTATTAAACTTCGAAAAAGCAACAGCACTTAGAAATAAGTATATTGCTGATTTTTATAAATTAATAAATTTTAAAGTGCTTATGGTTAATTAGACCAAAAAAGAATCTACACCTACTTTAACAAGTTTAAGATAAAATCTGATTGATTGATTGATTGATTAGGTGCTATCAGGTATTTAATTAAAAGCATATTTTTGGATAGATAGAATACATTTGCATTTTCCCCTATAATTATAATACAGTACTTCAGTTGCAATATAAAAGAGAAAAGACATGAATTGTTCTGTGGAGGAGAACACTGAACAAAACAATAAACCAAAATCAGGTTTTAGTTAAAAAGTTATATTGGTGGACAAAATATAAACACTGAAGTAGACGTTCACACTGGATGCCTATTGGCAATGATTTACTGTAACAGCCCTGGGCTTGTGCAGAAAAATATGCAGCTTCAGCACAGCGGAGTTAGGAATTGTAGGAAAATCACTCATGTTTAGGAGAGCATAGAATTCCACAGTATCGCATGCCTATAGGACAGAGTACAGTAACATTAAATGCAGTGGCATTGCGGTGTTGTTAGTATAAGCAAAGGGATTATCATATAAACAGGAACCTGTTTATAGCTAATAAAACAAAAACCACTTAATAAGCTTTCTAAGTGTGAGGGGGACGAGACACTTTAATAAATGCTATTGTTAATGTGCAAAGAATGTGGGGTCAACAACTTCTCGATATGCAGAAAATAGAAGTCCTATATTATTAGGATGGTACAAAACCATGCTGCTATTGAGTATTATTGTTATACATTGTTTCCCAAATGAGCTTTCAGCATCTCTTTACGCTAATAATTAGCTGCTAATAATTAAGGAACATTTCCAGCTTGACTAATTTTTTTTTTTAATTCTCTTCTCCAAAGGAATGTAAAATATGATTTCTTTAAAAGATGTGTCGTTCTTGTTATTATTCTAAGCATTATTTTAAAAGTGAAACCTGATATTAATTAAGTCGCAAAGTTCCAAATATCATACACAGCTTTATTATAAATAAAACCTCAATGGGACGTACCTCTAGGTTAGAATACACATGACCATGGTCTAAATCCTAATAATAGACATTATTCAGTTTAGGAAAAACTGTGTAGTTACTTTTATAATATCATTAAAAGAATGACAAATAAATGCATATCAGTTGGATTAACCCTTGAATTAAACACAAATGTGCAATAAATAAATGTTCCTCTCTGTCTTATAGCTAATAAGAAAACTGAAACATTCAGTTTCTTATGAAAAATGTAGAGGCCCTTATAAGTAGAGACCTTTAAAAGATCAGCAATTTGCACAATTGTGTACATTTAATTACAAAAATAGATAGGACTGAACCTCTATTGATGCCCTATTTAAATGCTTCCCAGCATAGTACTGAAAAAACAACAACCTTAGGATCTTTAAAAGAAGCGAAATACTCCTAAACCTAAAATGATTATATTAAGCTCAAGGCTTCTCTCATTAACAAGTCAATTGGAAAATGCATATTGCTACATTTCATATTAGATTTAAAGATACAAAAATCATACAGAGAAAGAGGGATGTTTTCACAAAAGTAAGCATATACTCTGAAGACTAGGAACTGTAACAATAAAAATGAAGAGGCTAGAACAGATTTTTACATGGCTGAAAGGAGTGATCTGAAGGCCTTGGGATATGCACTTGGGAGTACATGCTATGTTTTGTAATAATTTTTGTTTTGTTTTTTTAAACGGATAGGATCATAGAATCTTAAATAGGGGCATAGATTTATATGGCTACACAATGTATTCATGCTTCAAAAGGTAAACATTATGGTAAGATGCAAGGTAGATTTAAATACATTTAAATGCTTGAATAAAATTAACAACATTCATTGTAAAGATGTCTTTTTTCTATCATTTTATTAAAAAGCAATCCACAACCCATAATGAAACAGTGGTTAAAACTGGATGACCGACTGCAAAGTGATGCCTTAATTGTTGTGTCCACTTAAGAAATATTTTTGAAAGTGCTAAACAGAAAATCTTTCTTCCCCACTGACACTCACACAAACATACATCAAGAATACATTTTACACATTTTGCAAATAGCAAGCAGTATTGCTAATTAACACCTACAGCGTATTGTTAATGATAATAGCATTTTGAAATGAGCAATTATTTTGCTTAACATTCTTTGAGTATTTCGTATCTGAATGAAATCTGTACTTGCTGCTACCTAATCATGCTATTTAAAATACTTGCAAAGATACCCACGTTAGCATGCATGTTTTAATGCAGTAATGCAGTCCTATTATTTTAGCATAATACATTTAAATATATTTAACCAAAGCAACAGATGACCAATGATGGATTCATTAGTGTGTCAAGCATCTTTATACATCAAGATCTGTTTATGTAATTGCTCACTGAAAAGCAGACAACAAACAGAAACACAGAGAGAGACACACACACATACACAAACACTGCTGTTACCACCGTTCCAGTGCTGAAGGGGAAAGGCTCTATTATTACTTACCTAGCATTATCCAACGTTTGTGCAAAAAGATCATTTTGTAAAATATTTGGAGATGAGAAAACCCCATGAAAATGTGATAACACCGAATTGCAGACCTGTCGCAATGTCTCAAATTGCATTTTTTTTTCCCTTCTTCCCTGCTATTCCTTCTTACCACCTGTGCAAAAAAGTCATCTATTTTGCAGTCACCATCAAATGCAGATACGGCAATCAAGTTCCATATTTCTCCTGGTCTCGATAAAAATCGTAGCTAAATGTGCAGGGATGGAGAAATAGTTGTAATGTCATTCTTCTAATTCGGTCGTAAAAAACCGTAGGACCCACACTGACTTCTCATCACTAGAGCAGGAATTCCAAACAGCAGCAGCAATCTTCCTGGGCATTCCCAGCTGAAGTGTGAAGCTGAGCTGCATTCATGTAGCCTCCTCATATTTCTCGATGCCTCTTAAAAACACACACGGAATAAATGCTGCCCTCAGGAGTTTCAGCACATCTGGCTGCCAGCAATAAAATCTCAGAAGTAATAAAAAAAACGAGGATGAGCATCCGCACAGTTACTACTGCCTAAAAGGAGGAGGAGGAGGAGGAGGGGACATCCTCTGCAGCTTCTCCTCCACCCTTCCTCCTCTGGAAAAAAAAATGACTAGCACCAATGACAGAATACATAGGTCTTTTTTTGTTTTAGAACTTGACGGCCGTGGCACAAGCTGAAGGAGCCTTCTAAAAATAGTAAGAGATTTCTAAAGGATCCTATGGAGTAAGGAGACGATGGGAATACATTCATTGCTTCCATTTTTTTTAAAAAAGCTGCATCATTAGCTGCATGTGATAAGGCTTATTCTGTGATAAAGGCAATTCTGTCCTTTGCCAGTTTAATTTGGTTTCCGTGTACAGCTAAAGAACATTACAGCTGGTGCTGGATTTTGTTGCATTAGTGACTGCACACCTTGTGCTCATGCCACCAAAACAATGATTATTTTTGTACCCAAATTTGCAAAAAATCTCCCACAGCAATTTCCCCGAGTGATTCAAAGGCAGAAAACCTGCAGCAGCCTTTTGAAATTTGCTGCATTCTATTCAGTAACGGAAGAAGGAAATTAAACCAAGAAAAGAGTCTTGACATATTCAAAAGCATATGACTGAAAGTTAGCACCCCTTGAGCTGACCACAAGACAGTGGCTAGAAGGAAGGGCAGGGAGAACCCTGAAATACAACTAGACTGTATAGCAAAACAATTCCACCTGAATAGGTAAATATCATGCCACTGTTATCCATGGTTGTGTCCTATTGGATAAAATTACTGTGCAAAAATACAAGATTGCAGATACGATCACCAATAAAGGGAAGAATACCAATTAGCACATTATACATTGGAATGTTTAATTTGTACCAGCCACTTACAATAAGAAAGCACCATTAAAGTTTGTGTACTGAAAATTATTCAAAGAGCTAAGGAAAATGGAGTGAGGAAACTACTGTGACGATTGGAAAGTTTTATATTTGGTATCTGAAGGTAAGTATCATTGTTGTTCTCAGATTGACCTACATGTAATAAATGTACAGAGGTATTCCAGCATAGAATTTAACAAATTTATTTACAATTTTAATCTTATAATACTACATATATAGATTTACTCAGAATAAATTCCGTTAAATTCCATGGGATTCATTATTGTGTATCAATGTAGTGATGGAAAGAACTAGAGTTAGTGTTCTGTACACCACTTTGCTGCCCCCTAGTGTTCATTTGGGCAATATGCCTAATTTAGATTAACCTTAAATACTAATTGTATTTAAGGCTGTATGTTCCTTTTTTTTTTTTCTTTTTTTTTGCTCTCATACTAAAGAATAGCTAACGAGTAACTCAAGAATAGGAAAGTATGGGCCTATTTGTTGTACTTCCTATAACATTTTTTTCCACTTTCTAAGTATATGTTCCATTTTGCATGAATTTCTGACTTAAGTCCACATATTTATATGCTTATGAAGATTTTGCAATATATGCAAGAAATTTTCCATAATGCACACTTTTTGCATACTATTATTTTCCATGATATATATCAATCACAGTGTTATACTCCATATAGAGAGTTATTACAATAGATAACCAAAGTAATCACGTGAACACTTTTGTCCATAAATTTTACATGTAAACAAATTCGCCAGTCCTATTAAAAGTTTGTTACCAGGAAAGTTACTAGTAGAAAGAATTGGGAAGCAACAAGGTGAAGAACTTAATCTGAGATTCTGGATAATACTAGCCTAGATAGGCAAATTATTTAACATTAAAGTTATGTTCTTGCTCAAACTACTTCTGTTCAGTAATTGAAAGTAAGAACATTACTGGAGTTGGTATCAAGGGCTCGCCTGCTTGAGAAGTTGCTAAAAGTTGAAAGGCACAGAAATACCCAACCCCAACAAAATCTGTGGAGTCACTTCAGTGGTGGGATTCAGCCAGTTCGCACCTATTCGGGAGAACCGGTTGTTAACTTTCTAAGCAGTTCGGAGAACCGGTTGCTAAAAGAAATCTCATTTTGTTTTTCCCCACTTTACAGGGCTAATCCTATAAGGAAGGCAGGAAGGAAACATTCTGGTGTTGTTTCTAGCGTCATCTTTATTGCCCTGCTTACAGAAACTGCCTCTCCCATTAACCCCTTATTACATTGTAACAGCTAAGGCGAAGCGCCCATTGACGTGAATGATGTTGAGTTGGCCACGCCCACCCAGTCACATGACCACCAAACCCCTGCCTACCCAGTTGGTCATTAGGGCAGAGAACTGGTTGTTAAATTATTTGAATCCCACTGCTGAATCAGTTCCACAGGCTGTGGGATTTCTGAAGTAAACTATTCAGGATCACAGTGCTTTCCAATAATATATTATTATAGCAAACTGAGCTGAATGGTGACTCAACTTCTGCTCCCGTTTAGAAGTATTGCTCCCTGCTTGCTGCCTTGCCTGCTGCAGCACTTCCAAATAGGAATATAGCCAACAGTCAGTGTTTTCATCTGCAATATTTATTTACTCCAGAACACGAAGTCCAGGGTCAGGCATCATACCAGGAGCATTCTAACAAAGGGAAGAAGCATTGCAGAAGTGCCATCATGAATGCTGAGCAAGGCAAAAGTAATTAATAGTGGGATAGCAGCATGGTGGCAGCAGGAAGCAGGAAGAAAACTGAGGAATGGACTATCAGAAAGCATCGACGGGATTATGATAAGGCTAAGAGGCCTGGCACTCGAGGGGAGTTGAAATGTGAGCCAAAATTAGTGCATGATAGGAGAGGAGAGGTTAATTGGCATGATTTTGCTTCAGCATCTTAAAGAAGCAGGTTTTCTGTGACTGGACTTACCTAATATAGAGCAGGGCTTTTTCCCTTCTTTTTAAAGAATAAAGTTGTGTTTCTACTACCCCCTGAGGAGAGAATTTTTTACTTCCTTGGCTTTAAAACTAGCTATTCCCTTTGAACGTAAAGGAAAGGAATAACCTTTTTGCTGAGGATTCTGAATATCTAAGGCAGAGATGGGGAACTATTGCCTCTTTGTGACTTTCATAGCTGACTGTTCTGACCCCCCCTTCTCCGTCCAGGAATGAAAGCCAAAACAGACATACAAAAGAATGTTTTAATCAGTCCAGACTCTTGTTGGCTGCAAGC